TTGAAAAAGATATGTCCAAAAATATAAATAGAAATGATATTTTGAATATATTTGCTGATAAAAATAGGTATATGTTATTAAAATAAAATAAAATATTAACTATTAAGTGTTGTTTATTTTTATTACAACTTAAACATATTCATATTTGTATTAGTAATATATTACACTTGTGCATGGGAAGGGGGTGCGGGGGCGAAGCCCCTGCGGGTCACTTTACATTGGATTATTATAGCCCCCCTAAAAATTCAACCAAATGTCCGCCTATGTGCTGCCCTGTGGGAAATCGGTCGGTCGAAAGTAGCCGCCGCAATAATAAACGATAAATCTGCCGGCCGATCGCGAAGATTTTCGACGTCTGCAGGAGACTACATCGACGACCGAATATATTGTTATATAATATGTAATACGAGTACGATTAACTATTAAACATTATGTTGCTATATAGTTTTCAAAAAGACTCGAAGAATATTTCGTTAACTTGGAAGCACAATATCCTCCAACGATGCAAAGGAACTATTTTATGTTTAATCATATCTATTTACTTTTTTTTAAAATCTTTTTATAATATGATATACGTGCAATTCATGTGTATGAACGATTATTTTACTGTTGTCTTTGTCTGTATTTATATTATATTATATTTATACATATATAATATTATCATAATGTATATAATAATATTATAGTATTTCATCGTCGAAAACATAATGTCGTTATACTATGTTATGCGTACAAGAACGACAGCGACGGTGCCTTCCGTTTTTTTTTTTTTTTATCGAAAATAGATGCAAAACATAATAATATTATATAGTAATAACCGCGAGTACTGTCGGTGTTTTGAACTATATTAGTGCTGTGTGTGCAGTGTAGTGATCCCTCACTAACGCTTATATTTTGAGTTTGACGACGTTGATGATTGAGTAGGAGAAAAGGTTGCAGAGTTACAAGTTACAACGTTATAATTTAAGTAATTTATTTTAAAGTTAATAATAATATAATGGTATTACATTTGAATATAGAAATTTGAGGACAGAGCTATAAGCGTCTGCCCGAGAGATTAGTGGTTAATACTAAGTACTTACAAGTATGTACGTCGTACTAGCACTGAGCTAATTCTAATTTAGATACAGACGGAGACTCGTATATATACAAAGTCTCCCTAGGTTATTAGGTACACGGTAGAGACTCGGAGGTGGATCAAAGGAATACCGGCGGTATGCAAGGTACCGGCGTAAATGTTAAAAGTTGTCGAATAACCCTTGAGTTGTGAACTGGTTTATTTGGCGATATGTATTATTAGAAATCGTTATGCGATTTTTAAATATGTAATAAATCCTCAGGGCGTGGTATAGTCGTTGATCAATATATCATATAGTGCAAAGTCCTTATGATGTATAATTATAGGAAAGCGACTCTGTCGGTTTACTACACTCCTCCCCTCGAAGCTGGAAGTCCCTGACTTCCGAAAAAGTTTTAATTGAAGTTAAACTGTCTTGTACTTGGATAGCTTATTGGGCTATTCCTAGGCGTAAGAGGATATTCGACCATGTCGACTGCTCTAGGTGCTGTAGCTAAGCTTTCACTTTCTTCATCTTGGTTTGGTTCCTCTTCCGTGTTTATTTTTTCGTAACATTTAAATTTATTGTAATTGGATAAACATATAATGATAATTGCCATAAAAGTGATACTTGTGATTACGTAAAGTACGTAGTCGTTTACTTGCTGTGTATTCTTTAGTTCGTTTATCTTGTGATCAACCTTGCGTTGTGTTTCAAGTTGTTTCTTTGAACCTGACACGGTATGTAGGTCATCCATGTTATTTGTTTTTACGTGGTAGTCTTCCATCAAATTATTGTTGTCGGTGTACGGCATATCTTTGATACGTTCTATAGTTGACTTCGGGTTGAAATCCATATATTCAGATTTGTAGTCTACTTTTCCTGGTATAAGTACGTATCTTGCGGCGTATCCTTTGCAAGTTTCGTTGAGTCGTAAAATGCCTACTCTCCTTAGTGTGTGACTTGTGGATTCCTTGTCTTCGTCGCATGTAATAAATACTACATCATAATTAGTTACGTATATCCACTCGTTCTTGAATCGTTTCTTGTGGAATATGGATGTTCCGATTTGGACGTGCATTACTTCACAGGTTGATGGAACTTTTATTGGATCTTGCAAAAGTTGAACTTCGCATGCTGGTCTACTTGTACGCGGGTATAAAGGATTACCTTCAGGACATAAAAGGAAGTCTCTAGCGTGCTTACAATGTGTATAGTAAAATTCATCATACATGGCATAGTGTTCTTTAGTTTTACTTATAGCTAGATACTTATTACTAGGTTTAACATAGAGACAATCATTCCCAGTACAAACTGGTACAGGTATTAAGTTATATAGAATAAAATCATTTTGATAGATTAATGGTAACGTTAATATAAAAACTAGGTTGTCATTAACATAATATATAGCTAGGTCTGAGAGCTTTACCAATTCATAGATATTTTGTATATCTAGATCGGTGGGTAAGTCGGTGCCCCCAGGTAACGATACTTTAATGTCTTTTATGTGCTCTAGAAGGTCCCGTGGTGATATTAAGCTGGTATGGATAATCCCTAATTTCGCTTGTTGTATTATTTCTAATAAAGTATTGGTTTCTACTAGATGCTTCATTAATAATAAATTTATAATTAGAAAGTGTTTTGTTACATAATTTTTTGTTTGTTGGTCCCTAGATACGTTACTATTTTCGTTTATTAAAAAGGTCATATTGTAGTTTTCGTGTTCATCAAATTTGTTTTGTAACTTAACTATTTTTATTTGTTCTTTAACTAATTTAGTTTGCGGTGCGTTATGCGTTTGTTCTATATTAAAATTAAATTTTCTAATGCATTCCAGATTACATATTCCGTATATTAATCTGGCTGCTTTTGTTAACATGCCTAATGTACTTCTTTTAGATACTGTATGTTCTATAGAGTCTAATACTAGTTCCTTCTTTTTACGTAAATCGTTTACTATGCTACTAGCTGTTTGCATTAAATTGTTACAATTGGTATCAACATTATTTTTGATACTTTCGCATATTAATTCGGTTTTGTTCATAACATCGTCAATATAAATAAATCTTTCTTTGTATTTAGCAAAATTAATATACGCGGTTAAGTCCCATTGAGATGTGATAAGTTTCAATGGTCCCCGATTTTCGTAGTATAGACCGGAATGTTGTGTTAATTGTTCGTCGGTGTATCGAAATCGTCCCGACGTGAATGGTATAGTTAGTAGTATAAGTCTGAAAACCGTTTCAGCTTATTAGTCAAGGTAATTTTATGTTAAATGTATTAGATTTAAAATTAACCTATTTCTATATATATAAGTGCAAATTAAAATAATAATATGAATAATCTTATTCCCAAATCCCAAATAGAAAAAATGCATAATTGCTATAAAAAAAAAACTATAATTGTAAAATAATAAAATAATATATTCCGTCACCCTATATAATGTTTACTTTTATAAGTAATAATAATAATATAATAATAATAAATTTGTACTTTAACATCCGATTGTGTTTTTGATTAAATCGTGAAATTCCAATTGTAATTTACGGAATAAACAACGGGTCCATAGAACGTCTGTTCTAGGATCGTGAGCTTCGGAAAATCCGTGGGTATTTTTACATAAGAGTTCATGAGCTTCGCTTAGTTTTAAAGCGCGTCCTTGTTTTTCAAACGTTCCTATTTTAATGGAACAGATGGATTGCTTCGTAAGCATATCCGTTAGTTGTAAATCGAAGTTTCCATTGTTATTTGTGTCCCACCCTCGCATTGTCAATGCTCGACAACGTATGTGGAGAGCGTTCAGAATTTTAATGTCAGTGGAACCTTCCCACAGAATTATAAAGTTATACTTGTTAAGTATTGTTTGTATCGTGGTACGAGTTAAGTTCGGACACGAAGTATGGTCGGAGTCGTAGATTTGCGCAAGTATAGGGAATAGCTTTTGAGGTTTTCCCTTCAAAATGTTCACAAGGTGGTGTACCATAGCTTTCCATTCTCTGGTAGTTACTGGTTCATTGGTTCTGAGTTTGAGTGCGCGTCCTTCGAATTTTGTAACTAATGGTTCATAATGACCACATACGGCGCCAGATATTAAGATTAAATTTTCTTTTCCTAATTGTGTGAATTCAAAATCTACGACCGCGAACTCGGGTGGTTCACTAAAAACAAAACATATATATACATATGTATTGGACATCATATATATACGATAGATATATATATATCTACATATGCAGTCTTGTTAAGTATTCGAATACTTGTATTTAAATACTAGTATTTAAATACTTTTTTTGTATTTTAAATACTTTTCAAATACTTTCGACCCGTGTATTTTTAAATACTTTAAAAATACTTTTTTAAAGTATTTTTATTCGAGAATACTAAATACTTTTATTCTAGTGTTCAACTCGAAATTTCAATAATTACAAATTTTTCGTAATATACTATATTAAATTTTGTTTCTAAAATATTATTCTATTATTCTATAATGATAATAGTTTTGACTAATGACTGAGAATTTATAAATAAGGTTTCCCCAAAACACAATCAGATAAGTGATAACAGAATGACTGAAACCCCCGTCTGCTCCTCTCTACCATAGCATACGGCCATACGGGACACAGACCACCATTGGTTATATTGGTTTTTATCTTGAATCTATTATTAGTTATAATTTCAAGTTGTAATAACAATAATACAATATTGTAATATAAGTATAAATATAAGATTGGTATTACTTATTATATTATTATAAGAGCTGATAATAAAATATTAAAGGCTTTTCTCATCGATCGTAATATTTAATTTACCAATAATATTTTGTCATATTGACATATTGTAGGCAACTTGCAAGCAGACAACAGCTAGTTTCCTGCTTTAATTTTTGTGATTAAGACATTAAGTAGTAGACAGTAGTTCAGTAGTATTATTTAACATACTATCATGAGTGAAATGGAGGAAAATTGTAATTTGGATGATCCAAGACCACATGTGAATATTAGTTTGCCATGGCCTGTTTACAATTCACATTTTAAAGTTAATAAAATACTTAACGATAATGACTATGATTTACACAAAACTTTTGAAGTTTCTTGCAATCATTGCGTTACAAGAAAAACTTTAACTGCGGATTCAAGATCCATGTCCAATCTTCGTAAACACTTAAAGGTAGGTATTATAAATTATTATTATGAATTATTGAGGTATTATTTTTTTTGTTTACTTATAAATAAATTTATAAATGATTGCGGGCAAGTCTATAACTTCTTATAAATATTAATTATTATACTAGGTATCAGAAAATAAGTTTTTTCAACATCTGTTTGATGTCAAATAAAAATATATTTTTATGAAGCTGGACATTTCTTATGTGTACTTATGAAATAAATGTATCATAGTTTGTTTTATTTTTACCAGAGTTAAGTTATATTAATATATCTCAGGAATATACTATATAAGTCCTAAGTGTATAGACATTTAGTCTATACCCAGGTGGCCAGGTATATAAATAAATGTTTTAAATAGTAAATTCCTATAAGAGTTTATAATTTTCACAGCTTAAACATAGTCATGTAAAAACTGTAAAAGAACTACTGATGCCAAATATGAATGTATCTGTAAATTGTATAAGAAAAGAAATTGATGGAACTGATAAACATGACACCAGCATCGAATCAAATGTAAAAAAAATCAAATTTAACACAACACAGACATCTTTGAAAAGCTTCATACGTTCAAAAGATAATAACATAAGTTTAGTTTCTCAAGGTAAATATGTACTAGAGTAAATAAATACTTTTTGGATTAGTTTTTTAAATCAAATTTATTAATAATTAGTTCTATATTTTAAACTGTAAAAAATATTTTACAACCAATATTTTGCTTAATAGATAAATGTTAAGAGCTGTTGCCTGTTTGTATTTGATAAAATGATTTGTGTAATTGTTCAAAACTATATAAGGTTTAAAAAAGTGCTGCATTATTTATTTATTGTAAAGTAATTATTAATAATTGTTTTTTGTTTTATTTCACAGATACTCTTAATCAAATGGTTCAAGATTTAATAATAAATGCATCTCTACCATTTAACTTAGTGTCACATGAAAATTTTAAGGATATTATTTCTAAAGGATTTCCAGGTAGAAATCTTATGTGTCGCCAGACTCTTATGCAAAATATTGACAAAAGTTTCAATATTCTGTTTGATAAATTGAAAAGTAAACTTAACTCAGTTGAACATTTAACAACAACTGCTGATGCATGGTCAACATTTAAAAGGTATATTTTTTAGATTTTTCATTTCATTATTTAATATTTCATAATATCTTGTTAATTTATTTAGATCTTATTTGGGTATAACTGTTCATTGGATTGAAGAAGGAAGTCTTGAACGAAAATCTTACTTATTATCTATTAAGCGACTGACAGGAAGTCACACTTATGACATATTAGCCAGATCTATGGAATCTGTCTATACTTTGTTTAGCATTAATAACAAAATTTTATATACAACAACAGATAATGGCAGCAATTTTGTTAAAAGCTTTAAGTAAATATTTTATAAATGAGTTAAAATAATGAGTACCGTCAAATGAGGTTACAAAATTTATAATACAATTTATAATGTTTTGAATCAAAATGTTTACATTTAAAATAAATAGGTAATTTAAACTGCAATCAATTAAATTTATTTTAAATTGTTTAGAGTATTTGGTGCAAAAGACGATGATATCAATGCCTTGGATGAGTTGAATGATACTCAATCAGATAATAAGACAGCCAAAATGCTATACAGCACCTTTATTCCTGATGAGGTTGATGATTTGGATAATTGTACTATAAGAAATGAAGATGAAGATAATGATTTTCAAGATATATCCCATTTTAATATTGCTGAAGTATTTGAAGAGACAGAAGATGAAGTATATATGTTACCAAAACATCATAGATGTGCAGCACACACTCTCAATTTAATTGCTACTAATGTAAGGGAACTTTATTTTTTAATATTTTTAAATTTTAGATTCATACTATATATTATTATCTCTAATTACAGGATATTCGAAAAGCTATTTCTGGTGCAAAAAATGCAGTATCCCCTCTGTGGAAATATAAGCAGCAAAGCAGAACAACCTTTGCAAAATTAACCAATCTTTGGAACAAGCAAAACCGATCTAGTAAAATTGCTGATCTTATAAAAATTTGTTTTGGAGTATACCTTCTCACTCCAACAGAAACTAGATGGAATTCAACTTATGATTCTGTAAAATTTTTTTTGAAGAATTCCAAATCAAAATCAGGACAATTGTTTCGATTGTGTGATGATATTGACATTGTCCGCTTTAATAAAAATGATATAGAATTCCTTGAAGAGTATACTCAAATGATGGAACCAATAGCTATTGTTTTAGACCTTTTACAAGGTGAAAAAAATATGTTTTTTGGTTTTCTAATACCTTCTATTACTGAGTTAATATACAAGTATGAACAATTATTTATCAAAAACCAATTAAAAATCGGTTTTCCATTGGTAGAAGTAATAATAAAAAGTATTGAAAAAAGGTTTGAAAAAATATTAAGTGACCAATTTTTGACAATAGCAGCTATTTCACACCCATATTTTAAAACTGTTTGGATAAAAAACCAAGTTAAAAAAGATTTGGCTATTTCAGATTTTAAAAAAACAGTTTTAGATATGTTTAATGCAAATAGAAATGAGTCTACTACTGATAAACCAGTAGTTGACAATAGTGAAGATGAAGCAGAAGATTCTTCTTTTTTTTCATGGTCTAATGTCACTATTGATAAACTTCAAGAAACGTCAACTATCTCGGTGGAAAATGAAGTGTGCCTTTATCTGAATAGAAGCCCTACAAAAAAACTGACATCCCTTAATGAATTTCCTAATGTGAAAAAAGTTTTTATTAAACATAATACTCCATTGCCTAGCAGTGGTCCTATTGAACGTGTATTTAGTGTTAGTAATGCCATACTAACAAAACGTCGAGGAAAAATGGAAGACAAAACATTTGAAAAAGCAATTTTTTTAAAATATAATTCAAGTATTATGTAATTATTGTAATTCATCATATTTTGTATTATACCAATAAACTGTTCTACTATTATATTATATTATATTCATGTATTTTATGTTTTATTATTCTAATTATATAACATACACTATTATCTACCTCGCTGAAGTTAAACTTATTAGTAATTAAGTAATAAGTAATTAATAATTATCTATTGACTATTATCTTATATCTGCTTGTACTTATTAAAGTATTATTAAGTCATTGAAACGTTTATAAATAAGTTTAAATACCTATATATTTGCATATAGTGTTTAATTATATATATTAATTATTATTTATTAATAAAATTAACATTTCAATATGAAATTTATTGAACTAAAAAAAAGTATTTTTAAGTATTTTGAATACTTTTAAAAAGTATTTGTATTTATATTCAAATACTTTTAAAAGGAAGTATTTGAATACGTATTTTAAATACTAATGATAACAAGTATTTAAATACGTATTCTGAATACATTTGAAAAGTATTCTTAACAAGACTGTACATATGTCACAATGAAGACGTTATTATAAAATACGTATTCATTCGAAGAAAAGTTAATAGAAAAATCGAATAGAATTAAATAGTTATCATAGTTATAAAAGAAAATGGCTATTGAAATGCTAATAAAGTACATGTTTTTTTTTCATTTAAATTTAAAGTCGCATAAATCAAGTATATCTACTGGGTGTTCAGTTGTTTCCAAAAATTCCCTTAGATATGAACAAAGTGGTTTGCGTAGAGGTCTTAATGTTTTTGTTAAGTCGTGTGAGAAGTGATTAATTGTACGAGTGAGTTCCAACAGCTCCACTGGCGTATACAGTTGAAGTAAATTTTTATTCGCCGTGTCTATATGGTTAAGCATACAGCGCGGAATTTCGTCGGGATATAAAGCCGTGTGGCAGTGCTGTTGTACTATTAACGTTGTACGGAACGTGGTCATAAAGTTTCTTCGTTTGTCCCTAAAATAATAATAAAAGAATTTGGTAGGAAAAAATTTATAATAAGTAGATAAGTTAAGAAAAATGAATTTGTAATAATTTATTCGGTATCGTCATCGTCGTAATAACGTTTTACGTTATTTTTATGTATACGATACTCGCGATTTCCTTTTTTAATTGTAATATTTTCATTGTCATGTACTAAGAGTACCTCAAAAGGTCCTTGCCAATTTAAGCTAAGTGCATTTTTCTTGTTGTGCTCTTTGATAAGAACTTTGTCACCTACATGTAAATCAATGACATTTAGGGTCCTATCGTAATAATTTTTGTTTGCCTCTTTTTTCTTTATTAAGTTATCTCGAGCGATTTTATGTGCCTCTTGCATAATCCGCTTAAGATCGAATACATAATTGTCGTAATTATATTGTGGTTCGGGATTTTTATTGAACGCTGATGGAATATTTGGTTTCCTTCCGAATACTAGTTCGTAAGGCGTAAAATCCGTAGAAGTATGTACTGTTGTATTATAACAAAAAGTAGCGTAACACAATAATCTATCCCAATTACTGTCTTTGTCTACGAAGCTACGTAAATAAGTTTTTAATGTTTTATGAGAACGTTCTAGAAAAGCGTTGCTTTGTGGATGCCACGGTGTAGTTTTAGATTTTTTTATGTCCAACAGTTTACACATGCTTTTGAATACATCGGATAAAAAATTAGTTCCACAGTTAGTCAAAATTGACTCGGGTATACCGTATATACAAACGAAACATTCTACGAACGCCTGAGCTACCGTTTGCGCGTCTGTGGCGGATAACGCTATTGCTAGCGAGAAACGACTTAGTTCGTCTTGTAGAGTTAAAATATACATGTTTCCTGTCAGTGTTTTCGGTAAGGGTCCTACTGGCTACTATATCTAGGCAAACCCTTTCGAATGGTTTAACTACCGTGCTAGTAATTAACATTGGTTGCTTCGTTTTTACGTGTGATTTATTTTTCTGACATAATTCGCAATGTTTAATATAATATTTTACGTCTTTTTTCATGTGACGCCAGTTATAATTAAGTTTTAATCTTTTTACGGTACGTGATACTCCAGAATGTCCACCCAATGGTGAATTGTGGTGTTCATAAATGATTTGTTGTTTTTCTTCTGACGTTAATTGCTGACCTACATATATTTTTACTACGATGTCGGTCGCTTTGAAAATGTGTCGAAACATCGTGCGAATACGCGGATAACCGGTATTAGTGAGGTAGGTCCGTCTAATTTATTGGTAGAGAATGCATTTATTTTATTCGACATGCAAAATGTTTTTATATCGTTTATAGCTAAGTAAATGACCTCGGCGTTAAGCGGTGTTGTATGAGTTGGCTTTAGACCATAAAATACGAGTAAATTCGGTTCACTGTCGATAGTGTAAAACTTGTTTGTATCCGAAAACTGGATTTTGTTTAAATCTATGTTTTTTATTACTTCACGCACTGCCGGGTTTGTTATAATTTTATCCTCAGGAATCATTATTATTACGTTTTCTCTTTCTATGGCCTTGACTAGGTCATCGTCGACTTCTATAATTTTTGAATTAAATATGGGTTTGCTTTCCGCAGCTCGGAACGTGTCGAAGTCGGTGGTCATACTAGTTGGACCGGGTTGTATCATACGAATTCGTGACAGGCAATCTGCGTTCGAGTGTTCGGGTCCGGCCCTGTACGTAATATCATAATCGTAATCGGCTAGTTGTAAGCGCCAGCGCATTAACTGCGATGACGCGTCCTTAATACCAAACAGGTATGTTAACGGTCTGTGATCGGTTATAATATTAAAATGTCGACCATATAAATATGGTCGGAAATATTTCACGGCCCAGACGATGGCTAATAATTCTTTCTGAATAACGCTATAGTTACACTCGGCTTTATTTAATGTTCTACTCGCATAAGCGATAGGCTGATCTTTAGGGACTTCCCCTTGTGATAAGACTGCTCCTATTGCATATTGGCTTGCGTCTGTCATTAAGTTGAACTTTCCCGCTTCCCAGTCCGGATAGACCAGTAATGGTGGGTTCATTAAAGCTTTTTTCAGTTCTTCGAAACTATGTTCGCAATTATCAGTCCATTCGAATGGTACGTCTTTTTTAAGTAAGTAAGTTAATGGTTTTGCGATTTTCGCAAAGTTATCGACGAAACGTCTATAATAGTTTTGTTACTACGGTATTGTGGACTGTATATGATGGTCTACTCAAACAACAACTCGTAGGTAGATTAATGTAAAGTGCCGGGTGACGGCCTACTATTGGTAAAAACAAGAAATAAATATTGTGACACAAAATGTGCCGGCCGGCGTGGGGCTCTTAACAATCTAATTTACAAATATAATATTAAACTAATAAATCAATAATAATAATAAATGAATAAACCGTGATAGCCGGACGCAGAACGAAGGTGACGAGTGACGGTAATGATACTGGTGACGGTGACTGGTGATGGTGATTGGTGAAGTGGAGTGACGGTGATTGACGGTAACAGAACAAAAAAAACAAATCGGAACATAAACAAAACCCACGGTTCAAGGTAGCAAAATATTACGCACAGCAACGTATAACGGCTACGCACGCACAGTCCGGTGGCGGAACATGAACTAAACGTCGTCTGCGGTATAGCTTAGGTACGGTGTGTTCGTTGCGCTATCACCCGATTACGTAAATGCCTGAACATACCGCCCACCTTGAATGGTCCCACATTCAATCACAACGGTAAAGGGCATAACTTCACCACTGGCCGCTTGAGAGTCTTGCCATTAGCTAATTTGACATCAGCTACTCGGACGACATTGTCTTCGCCAGGGTATAGTTTGACAACGCGCGCTGTACTCCATGTGAGTGGTGGTGTGGGTTCCTTAATGATTACCAAGTCATCCACCGCCAGGTTCCTGTCTGGGCGTTGCCACTTCTTTCTCGTTTGCAGATTTTGTAAGTATTCCTTTTGCCATCGCTGCCAGAAGTGAAGTTGAATCTGTTGAACTAGGGTCCAACGTTGACGTAGAGTGTAGGCTAGTGGATGGTCGTGGGTATATGGTTGTGGTATAGAGGCTGGTGGACCCATAGTCAAAAAATGCCCTGCCGTGAGTGGTGCTAAATCGTTAGGATCGCTGGAGAGGGCGCCTAATGGCCTGGAGTTTAGGGTTGCTTCTATTTTGTGGAGGACAGTATTTAGTTCTTCGTACGTAAGGACCTGATCGTGAACTATGCGCCGTAACAACCCCTTGGCCGACTTGACTGCCGCTTCCCAGAGGCCACCCATGTGCGGCGCAGCAGGAGGATTAAAATGCCAGGTTACTTGATTTGATGAAGCGTAGCGGATGGTCGTAGGTGACTTCAGAATTTCTTGCACTTCCTTTAAATAATGATTAGCTCCTACAAAATTAGTCCCACAGTCAGTGTATATGTCCGTGCAACGTCCTCGTCGTGCGATAAAGCGTTCGAGGGCTGCAATAAATGTGGGCGTCGACAAGTCCGAGGCAAGCTCTATGTGTACGGCTGTAGTCGCCATACATACGAATATGCATATGTACGCCTTGGTGACCTGCAGTCGGCGTAACAGAGCAGCCTTTACGTCGAATGGTCCCGCAAAATCAATACCAACTTTTCCGAATGGTTTGATTTGGCCAAGTCTGTGTGGCGGTAGATCTCCCATGATCGGTTGAGGAGCCCGAGGTAGTACTCTGAAACATGGTATACAACGATGGAGTTGCTTTCGTATTACACCTCTTGCCGATAATACCCAAAAATGCTGTCGTATAATGTTCTGCACGGTTTGTGCGCCTGGGTGACCATTGCTTCTGTGTACCTGGTCGATCAAAAGCGTAGTCATCCGTGCTTCTTTAGGTAATAGAATTGGACATTTTTGATCAAATGGTAAATCTGCACGCTGTAAACGTCCACCCACCCTTATCACGTTGTCGAAATCGAGAAATGGAGCAAGCTTCCGCAGCTTGGATGAACATGATCGGTTGTGGGTCAGATTATTGAGGTCATCAGAAAAATACACTCGTTGT